GCCAAAGTTACTTCCATATAAAATTTACAAAAAAGGAGTAATTTTTTTTCCTCATTAAGTTTTCATATGAGTCAAGCAAAATCAGAGTTTTTATTTCTAGAAGGTTATCATATCATTATTTCGGATAGTCCATTTATATCTGAGGCATATCCCATTACAATTTTATGTTACTTGAATTTCAAATTATCACCAATGGACTAGGTGCAGTGGTTTACACCTGTAATCCCAGCACTTTGGGAGGCTGAAGCAGGAGGATCACTTCTGCCCAGGACTTCATGACCAGTCTAGGCAACAAAGCGAGACCCTCATCTCTACAAAAAATTTTTTAAATTAGCCAGGCACAGAGGCATAAACCTGTAGACCCAGCTAGACAAGAGGCCAAGGTGGGAGGATTATTTGAGCCTGGGAGATAGAGGCTGCAGTGAGCCCGGGCAACAAAGCAAGACCCTATTCCAAATATATATATCTCTCTCTCTCTTACCAAACTTGGTCTGTGGCCACACCATCCTGAAAGCACCCCATCTCATCAAATATCACCAAAGAAAGACCTTATTGTGATTGTTTGAATCATCCAAAATCTACCCAAATAAGTTTTTTTCAGGTCCAAAGTAAAATTTAAATGAAAAACTGCAGTGAATTTTCTTGTGACGCAAACAATATTTTCTTTCAAAACTGAGATTTAGAATAACAGTGCATCCTTCCTTTCTTAAAAACAGTGAGATTAAATGATAGCAATAAGAAGTCATAACTAGTTTTGATTTTATGTTCCTTCTTGAAAGAAAAACCAAGGTGGTCATCTTCTCTTAAAAAAAAAAAAAAAAAAAAAAAATCTGTGAAATTCCAGCATTTGGGAATGACTAAAACTGCCTTAACCAGTATCTGCATACAGCATTGCAGTTGGAGAGATTTTCATTTTGAATCTCAGCCAAGATATGCAAAGCTAATAATGGAACTGTTAATTACTAAATGTTTAAAGGGTTATTTGAAGGCGACTAAGGTTCTATCAATATTGCAAGGAACGTTAATATTTTTTATCATAAATTTAAGTTCTCATTTGTTCAAAGTCACATGCCAACAGAGTTTGAAGTTCATGTTTCCGTTATAAATGTATTTCTGTACCAAGAAATTCAAATGTCATTGTGATGAAATCTAACTGCTTGTGGCCAATCATTTCTTTATGAGATATGCTTTTTAAATGGCATACAGATAATTTAGTTGTATTCTATGAACAAAAACTACTTGAGAAATAAATATTACTAAAGCCCCAAAATGGGCTAAAATGCAATGAAAGTATAAGCTGACAAATACAAGTCTGCTTATAAACAATGGTAAAAAGAAACTCAAATGGAAAATTTAACCGTAACAGACACAATTCTTCCAGTAGGTTTCAAAGTTAAATATTTGTCAGATACTCTTTCATGCCGTTTCTCATAATTTACAGTTCTCTGGGCTAAAGTTATTTTTTTCAGCCCTCTCATTATGACTCAAGATGAATTCTACTGAGTGATTTCGCAATGAATTAAGTCCTGTATTCTTTACAATACATTAATGGGTTAGTAACTACATCAAAAGTTATAATAGCCAAAAAAAAAAAAGTAAGATTATTAACTAGGAGGAGATGGGGTGGGGGCTATTTTACACATAACATTTTTAAAAGTAACTTTTACAACTAGCTAAAAATGCATTACATTAGGTCTTTAAAGAGAGGAAACAATTTTGCAATAGATGTTTCACCTGAAAAACCAAAAACAGTATGCATTTAAACACTCTACAGAAGCAATTTCAAAGGGCCTGAACTCAACAAGTTAATAAAATGGTTTAGAAAAATCATTTTATTGTATAAGCCTTGGGGGATAAAAGCTGTTTGTAATTTATTTACAATCTTTTACTTCACCAAATTGCCTTGGTGACCAAGCTTCTCATTTAAGTGATTAAAGACATAAACCCAAATAATTAAATAAAGCAATTACTTAAGAGTCCTGTTTTTCAACAGAGGTGCACTGAGAAATATCAGTAGAATGTTTTCAGGGCTCATTATTTTCAAGGAAGTTTGTTATTTAGAATACAATGCCCCATTGACTAGAACTCAGCCAGGTTTCCAGACACACAATATGGGATACACATTGGATTAAAGAGTTTTTTCCTCCTCTCAGAATATCAGGTGAAACAGTGATAGTCTCTTGAAACTGAACTATGTATAACCTGGCTAAAACTTCGATGATAATTTTTGGTATTTTTCCTTACTCTTCCCCCTCTCTAAAGATATAACCGAAATGTGTTTCCATTTTCCAGGTGGACATGAAAAGCTCCCAGTTTACGAAAGTTCCTAGTACTCTTCCCACTCCCAGATTCTCTTCAAGCCAACTTCTTAGGTTACACTAATGACATCAGGATTACTTCTAGGCAACTGATTGACCTAAATACAAAACTATGTTTTCACAGAGCTTGGGAAATGAATGAGGCCGGCAAGACTTTAAAAAACAAATAGAATTGAATAGCAGGGGAAAAAAAATTACATATGTTCCCCAATTCTTTTCCTTTTGCCTATAACGAGAATCACACAAACTCCTTTATCGAGTCTATCCTCAGAAACAGAAAGAAGCACAACAGCAAAACTTTCCTAATTCCTGTCCTTCTGTTCATGGTATCAAGCTTATTTAACAAGGTTGCTTTTCTAATATTAAAAATTCTAACTCACAAACATTTATAAGACAAGGCTGTATGGAAAATCTTCCAGCGTTCCATTAAAGCATTCTTAACATTAAAAGTACCTTCTACAGAAGCTTTTTATATATATATACATATAACTTTTGAGTAAATTTCAAATTTTTAGAAGATTACTCCTGGCCAGTCAGGTAAAGATGGAAAACGTTCACATTCTGAACAACTTTCTCTTGAAAACAAATAAACATGGGGTTTTGTAGTAATAACCAAACGAACATCAAAGTTAATAGGGCTGACACTTAGGAATGTTTGAAATGTTTGGTAGGTTTCCTTATGTTTACTTTTTCTATGAAGGTCTGGTGGGGCAAATGTGCTGCTTTCCGACTGTCAATAAAGCTTTCATGTCGTGGGGTTAGTAGTAGCTGGCGCAGGCCAAGTTTTGTGTTGGGTCAGTTTTTACTCTATTCTACACAACTGGCAGGGGAACAGGAAAGTTTAACAGTTCATTTATTTGACACAGTCGGCCCACAGTCACAGTGGAGGTTTTGTCTCTTCTAGTCTTATTTGGTGACCCGCCTCCCAACCTGATAGTAGGTTTTAGTCATTGTTATTCTTCCAACTAATCAACCAAATGCACTGCTTCCCCCCTCTCTAATTCCCACCAAAGGCCTCTGACATCATTTTCTGACCAGCCTTGGTAGGTTCCAATACTCTCAGCATGCGTAATTTCACTTGGCACTTAAAACAATATTCTTGAAAGGAAATGAAATATCTCACTGAAATCTGCTTTTCCTTCACACTGAGACAGGGAATGTGCATTTTCAGATGCAGAAGACTGATCCAACTGACAATTTTAAAACAAATAGATGAGAAAGGCACAGGAGAGGCAGCGCGTGCAACACCAAGAGAAGAACAAGATCAAAGCAGGACATTCCTTGTTGGGATAAAAATAGTCTTTTAAAATGGGAACTTTCTGGAGACACTGAGATAAATTTTCTTGTAAAATTACAGCCATCTTCCACACGTTTGATAAGTATGTGCAATCTATCCATGATCTCCCAGATGTGACAGCTCTATCAAGGAAAATGAAAAATCAAAAACGGTACCAGGTGCCATTCTTGGGGCTTGTCCAAAAGCAGCCAGGGGAAGATTATATTTTATTATGTTCTCCCCACAGTAAATAATAATCAACATGAGAGAAGGAGAGCATTTGGATTTGAACAGATGGCATCCAACACCTAACAAGCGAAGCAACACTTTCAAGCATTAGATCCTAAACGTCTGATGGTCCCAAGGATCAGGAGGGCTTATTTGTCTTAAGAGGGTTGGCAGGCAGGACCTCCTGTAGTCACCATCCCAACGCTTAGGAATATGCGTCATTATCCAGTCAGCAACTAAAAGGGGAGAAAATTAAGCTACCACATTTTCATAAAATATCCCCCTCTCCAGTAAAACTTGAGACAACCAAATCCAATCCTATCAGCCGCTACAAGTAAGAGAATAAGCCTGCAGGTAAACAAATGTATAAAGGTTAACAAACTTATCTAATTTTGACAAGGTTGTGCAACACCAAAAGAATCCGCAGGGTGCCCTTCCCGAGGGTGTATTTGAACATGCCTGCTCTGCAGCTATGTCTGCAATTTAAACTAAAAGCACTAACCTAGCTATTCAACTTTTTTTTTCTCTTCAATTGAAAGCAGTATCCTTCGAAAAACAAAAGCGAAACAGTAAACACATAAACACCTCAATGTTTTACTAGAAGGTCAGCACGGATCTGTCTTTAGCACAACCGTACAGGTTTCCTCCTATACCTTTCAAACACCACTGAACTCCAAGGGTCACTTTCAAGGGGAGGAACGGATCTGAAGTCAGAGGGAGCAAGAGTCACTGGACGAGGGGAGATGAGACCCCAACCCCTGATATTCAGAGGCCACCGAGGGCGGCTGGGGAGAAGGAAAGCTAGAGAACACACACACACACACACACACACACACACACACACACACTCTCTCTCTCTCTCTCTCTCTCTCTCTCTCTCTCTCTCTCTCTCTGTCTGTCCCTGTCTCTGTCTGTCTCTCGGCGGGGCCACATGGGGGGAAAGGTCAGTCATGGGTAGGGGAGCGTTAAGGAGCAGAACGTCAAGGAGAGGGAAAAATAAAATCAGGATAGGCGGAGTAAAAGACTCGGAGGTGAGATGCCTTTGGCAGTTGGGGGTCCTAATGCAAGAAGTGGGGTGCTCCGGGCGAACTGTGTCAGGAAGGAGGTGGGAGGACAGGGGAAGACGCAGCCTGCGAGGCAGAAATCCGGCCAAGTGCAGGCGGCCGCCGCGTTCTCACCTGGGGGGTCCTTTCAGGGGGGTTCTTCATCACCGCCTGGCGGAAGCTGTTATCTACGTAGGACGCCATCTCCCCACTGGGGGCCGGGCTGGGGCCGCTCCGCACCCTGGCCGGCCTCCTCCCGGCCCAGCGCCGCTGCTGCCTCCGCCCTGCGCGCTGCGCCCGCCCGCCCGCGGCTAATCAGCCAAACCGCGGCGGCGGCGACGGCGGCGGCGGCGCGGGCCCGCGCGGGGGCGCCTTGGCTGGGCCCGGCGGCCGGGAGCGCGGCACAGGCGCGAGGGGCGCTGGACGCAGCCGGGAGGGTCGCGGCGCCCCTAGGCTGCCGTGCGGTGCGCCCCGCAGGCGGAACTCCTCTTCCTCCTCCTCCTTCTGTTCCTCGCCGCTCCGCCGGCTCCCTCCGGCCCAGGCTCGACACGCCTCCCCAGCTCCACTCGGGGGACAGTGGCGGCTCCTCCTGGCCCCAGCGAGCCCGAGTTATTTTTAGGGAGGTACGAGTGGCAGTGGGGAGGGCTGCGGGCAGGCGGAGCCTCCTCCCCCACGGCGCTGAGGGTCGCCCCCTCCTCTCAGGGGTTTGTGCCGCCGCCCAAGGGTCTCCGAGAATCACTTGGATCTTCCGCGTTCCCAGTCCTCGGGCGCTCGGGTGCCTCGGCCGCCGGTCGGGAGGACGGACCGGGTGGGTCTGGCTCAGGTCCGGGCGCTGCGAAGCCCGATCGCCTCGGCCGCCGCTCCTGGTCTCTGTCTATTGGGCTCGGCCGTCCCTCCCGACTGCTGCTGCATCCCCTCGGGCCGCCCAGCCGCCGCCGCCGCCGCCTCTGCTGCTCGGGCCGCCGCTGTGGGCTCCGCCGCCGCCGCCTCCCCCCATCAGCGCGCCCGGAGCGGAGCTGCCCCGGCGCCGGCGCCGCCGCGGCCAGAGCACCCGGCCCGGGCTGCAGCCCTCCGGCCCAGTCGCTCTCGGCAACTTTGTTCCTCGTCTGCGCGGGGCGGAGGAGGGGGAAGAGGGGGCCACGGACAGCCCGGGTTTGGACTCCCGGCAGCGGGCGTCCGAGGGCCAAGAGCCGAGCGCCGCGAACCGCGCACAGCCCCCTCAGAGAGAGTGTTTGGGAAGCGGCGATTCCCCTCCTCTTCCTCCGCCTCTTCCTCCTCCTGCGCCTTCTCCGGCCGCCGGAGCCGCTCCTCAGGGAGGAAGCGGCCTCCGGGGCTTGTTGCTTTGTGCTGCAACCATGGTGAGGAATGAGTGACAGCGCGGGGGCGAGTCGGCGGCCGCCGCATCATCGCGGGGCGGGGCAGCCCCGTCGCGCCGGGTCCCGCCTCCCCGCTCCCCGCCCGCCAGCCGGCCGCGCCCTCGCGTCTGACCAGCACCTTCGGTGGCGCCCAGGTGAGCGGCGCTCGGACCGCTAGGGGGTCGCGGAGCCCTCGGCCGGGCTGGCGGGTCCCTCGCGCGGCCTGGACCCGAGGAGGGGGCGCAAGTCCTGGTGCCCCGGCGAGAAGCGCAGGGCTTTCCTCACGCAGTGCCCCCCACTGTCTCACGTGCGCCCCCTCCCCACACCCGACGCGCCCTACTAGGAGACCCAGCCGCGTCGGGTCGCCGCTCCCCGCCGGCTCCTGACGCCACGCCGCCGCCCCGGGACTGAAAGCTAACCCCAGGCAGAAGACCGGCCCACCAACGCGGGCTGTACTGGGCATTCTTTTGGAGCCCAAGAGTTGGGTGCGAGTTGCTTATGTGGCGATAAATCCTCTTAGGATTTATTTTGCTTATTTGTAATTTGCTGCACCCTCCCCTGCTTTCCAAGCCCACTCTGGCACCTCAGACAGTAAAATGACCACGAAATTAGGCAGAGAGGTTTCAACACCAGACCCACTACCACCCCTAGACCAACAAACACTCCAGATTTAAAGGGGATCACTCCTTAGCGACGGACCAGGATGTCAAGTTCTGTGACATAATCAGAAACATTTATTGGTAGATCTGGCTCTGCTTTGGACAGAACAAACCACCTCCTCTAGGTGCTCAAATTTCCAAACCAGACTCACTTGGTGCAGAAACAATACCTGGTCCTTCAAGATGTCACCGCTCCTGCTGCTTCCCTCAGCTCCCCTCCTCTCCTTGCCCTGGCCACGTAGAGGTGTGTAAGATCAGCCCAAGCATCGGGGACCACTCTGCTGTTTTCGTCCCAGGGATTTATTTTTGTTTGCTCCCACCCCCCATAGGTTCATATTTTGATATCTATAGAGACAATGAGTTTTATGTATGAGCTACTACATTGAACTTTCATCAAATTTTCAAACATGTTTGTCAACATCTAGTTTAAACACTTGGAATAGATTGTCAGCTAACATTTTGGGGTTCCTTAAGTCACCTGTGTGCACTAAACAGCTTGTGTGACTTCCTAGCGAAGGCACTGTCCCTGCCCAACCTTGTGAAATGGAATCTGAGTTACAAATTGTGTCTATAGACCTTTTTATATTACTCTTGCTGTAACTGCTTCTCTATATTTCTCTTTCACCTCTTAGTTGAGCCCCAACATCAAATTCTCTATGACATAGGCCACTACCTTGAAAGCAAAGGAACATGAATAAGTGCCAGTACAGCTCTGAAAAAAGAGAGGCAGATAAAAGAATTCAAACCCAATGAAGTGAAAAAATATAACTGACATCTCCACCTGGTGTCTAATAGACATCTCAGAATTCACATGTGCAAACCAGGCTCCAGATCTCCTGTCTCAGACACCCACAACCTTCCCCATCCTCTGTTAATCACATCTACACTATTCTCATTGCCCGGATGAAAACCTTGACTTCCTTGACTCCTTTCTTTCTGTTATACCTCAAAAGTGACCGTAAAAATCGTCAGCTCAACCTCCAAAATACCATATCTGAACTCTAACCTCTATCTGCCACCTCTACTGCCATGACCCTGGTCCAATCCAGCATCATGTTTGGCCAGCACTTTGTCATAACCACCCACCTGGTCCCCCTCTTTCTAACCTTGCTTGCCATACAGTTCATTTCCAACGCAGCGCCAAAGTGTGAATTCTTTTCACTTCTTCTCAAATCATTCCTCTGCTTAGCTCCCCGTACCACTCGAGCTAAAAGCCAGAGTCTTTACCATGGCCTGAATGACCTATGGACCTTTATCTCTCTGACATCTTCTCCTACTATTCTGTTCCCAAGCACATTAGCCTCCATGCTGTCTCTGAAACAGTAAGCAAATTCCAGTCTCATGACCTTTCCATCTGCTGTTCCCTCTACTGCCTGGATTATCTCTCCCCCTCTCCCCACCCCACTTGCACCCACAAAAACAAAAAGAAAAATGCACAGACACAACAACCAAAATATAGAATGTTCTTCCTCCATTGTTATATCTTTGTTTGAATTTCACCTTCCCTGTAACTTCATACACTCTGGTTATCTTCCTTGCTTTACTTACCACCTAACATACTATATATTGTACAGGTGCTCACCCACTTAGGATGGGGTTACATCCTGATAAACCACTGTAAGTCACAAATATCGTAAGTCAGAAATGCACTTAATACCCTGATAAACCCATTATGAAGTGGAAAAATCAAAAGTCAACTTCTTGACCATCATAAATTGAGAACCGTCTATACTTATTTATTTTATGTATTGTTTTATCCCTCCACTGTAATGTAAGCTTCTAAGTCAGGGATGTTTGTCCCTTTTATTTACTGCTATATCCTCAACACAAGACAGGCAGCCAACAAATATGTATTAAATGGATACATGAAGTAGTTCATGTTACCTTGTATTTGTATGAGATTGTTACATACATTATCTTCCTTGTGTCCCTGGTTGGCGGGAGAAGACTGGGAGAGGAAACTTAACCTCTCTGAGCCTGTTTTCTGTTTTATAAAAGGAGAGTAAAAATTGAATAGTCAGGCCAGGCAAAGTGGCTTACTCCTATAATCTCAGCACTTTGGGAGGCTGAACCAGGAGGATAGCTTGAGGCCAGGAGTTCAAGACCAGCCTGGTCAACATAACAAGACCCCCACCTCTACAAAAACAAAAACAAAAAGTAGCTGGGCATGGTGGGGTGCACTTGCAGTCCTAGATACTCAGGAGGCTGAGGTGGGAGGCTATCTTAAGCCCAGGAATTCGAGGTTGCGGTAAGCTATGATCACACCATGGCACTCCAGCCTGAGTGACAGAGCAAGACCCTATCAGAAAAAAAGAAAAAGTTGCATACCGTGAAGATTTGTGAAGATCCAAGATAATACATGCAAAGTGCCTTTGCATAGTGGTTTAACAACAGTATATACTCAATAAATGGTAGTTGTATTTAAGATTATTCTCATCATTGCAATCTTCTGAGGCTAGTGGGACAGTGTTTTCTTATTTACAGGTGAAGAACTGATGCTAAAACAAGCTACATGACTTTTCCTAGTTCCGGGCCTGCCTTTCACTTTAGAAAGTTCTGGAGCCAGCTAACAAATGGGGACCCATATATTCTATCGTAAATACTAAAAGCTACAAATTAACTGGGGAAGTACTGCTGCAGGGAGTACTGGTGTCTGGTCTGCAACTGGAATCTCTTTTTCTTTCCATCTCAACTTCATCCTGTCCCATGGAAAGGTTCACACATAAGAGGACAACCCAGCCGGGTGCAGTGGCTCATGCCTGTAATCCCAATACTTTGGGAGGCTGAGGTGGGCGGATCACGAGGTCAGGAATTCAAGACCAGCCTGGCCAATATGGGGAAACCCCGTCTCTACTAAAATACAAAAATTAGCCAGGCGTGGTGGCGTGCGCCTGTAGTCCCAGTTACTTGGGAGGCTGAGGCAGAAAAATTGCTTTTACCCGGGAGGCAGAGGTTGTTTGCAGTGAGCCGAGATCAAGCCACTGCACTCCAGCCTGGGTGACAGAGTGAGACTCCATCTCAAGAAAAAGAAAAGGACAACCCAGCCTACACATCTAAGTGATATCACACCTCTCAAAAAAGCCAGTCCTTGGTGATTCCTCTGGCCAAGGGCCAGCCTTGGAAGATGATGGCAGGGCAGTCAGGACCAGGCTTCTAGGTGCTCAGAGAGTATGGAACTCCTTGCCCCATGGGGAGGGGGGATGCTAGAGGGGACCTTCTACACCAAACAGGAGTGCCTCTCTGCCAGATCTCACAGCGAGAGTTATGAATTCCGGTTGCAAACCC